TGAGAATCAGCTCGCGTAGCTGATTTTCCCGGCGCCTCCCAGCGCCGGAGGCGGCTATGTATCGAGGAATGGGCCCCTCGGTGAGGCCGAAACCAGCTGCATGCAGCAAATTTCGTAACCCCCCCTTTCCCAATCCCCCCCTTTCGTCCGGCCCGACCGTCGGCCTTCGCACCCGTTTTTCGGCGGCGAGCGAGGGGGGACGTGAGAAGGAGAAGGCCTTCTCAGAAGGCGGGGGGACTTCTCAGAAGCCCTCGCGCCTTCTGAGAGGTGCTGCTTCTTGTCTTCGGAGAAGGCTTGGCAGACTTCTCAGAAGGCTGGGAGACCTCCGAACCTTCTGAGAAGGCCTTCTCCTTCTCACTTCCCCCCCTCGCTCGCCGCCGAGTTTTCTTTCGGCACGGCCGGACCAAAGACAGAATCGCATCCTCCTCAAGAACACGAGACCCCCCGCCGCCCCAACTGACGAACATTCGAGGGCACCCTCCCCCAGGATGCACAAGAATAGTCGTAGAGGCCTCCCAAGTGGGGTCCGAGTAGATGGGGTCGGAAAATCGCGCCGCATCGACCATACATCTACGATGCATCCGCGACACTTAGGCGATGAACCGGCGATGCACCGGCGATGCACCAGCGATGCATCGGCGACGTCGGCGACGCATCGGCGCGGAGAAAATCGGGCTCCACATCGCGCCGCATCGGCGATGCATCGGCGCTGCGGCGCGATCCTCCGACCCCATCTACTCGGACCCCATCCGGAGGCCCAGACTTTAGCAGCAACGAAGAATATCAGGGTACCCTCCCCTCGAACCGACCTCGATCCTGTACCTCGGTCCGACCGTACCCGTCTCGAGCGCACCGACAGGAGGACCGCGCGGCGAGGAGTAGGGGAACGCAAAATAACATAAACACAAAAACTCGGAGGTCCGCGCGGATTTCTCGGATCCGCGCTGGACCCCCCTGGCGGCGCCTCCGGCGCCGCCCCTGGCGCGCTTTGCGCGCCAGGGAGGGGGGTCCAGCGCCGATCCGAGAAATCCGCGCGGACCTCAGAGTTTTATGTTTATGCCATTCTTCTTTCCCCTAATAAGACTCGGGTTCGGGGGACACGGGCTGGCCTGACGGGACCATCGCGAAAACGACGAGACCCGGGTCTGGAATTCGACGCGAGCTCCCGCTGCGCACGTCCCACGAAAACTGGACCGTCACAAAATCCAGGACGCGCTCGTCGAGAAGCGTCGGCGAACCCGAGCTCCGGCGAACCCGAGTTTTTATGTCAATGCGATTGTAGAGGCCTCCTAGATGGGGTCCGAGTAAATAGGGTCGGAGGATCTCGCCGCATCGCCGATACATCGGCGATGCACTGCCGATGTATCGGCGATGCATCGGCGATGCGCTGGCGACGTCGGCGATGCATCGGCGACGTCGCCGTGGGCAACACGGGCTCCACATCGAGCCGCATCGTCGACGCATCGGCGCTGCGGCGCGATCCTCCGACCCCATCCGCTCGGACCCCATCCCGGAGGCCTGGAGACTGCTCGCTCCCCTGAGGAGGGCCGACGGCGCCGCGGGCGGCGCCGACGGGGGCGCGCCTGAAGACCTCCCCGAACGGGTCCGGGCCGGCCGCGGGACCCTCCCGCTCGAGCCGCTCCAGGTCCGCCCTCGTGAGCCTGGGGGCGCTGCTTGGAGCTCGGCGGCGCGCACCAGGGGGCGGGGGGAAGGGGGGAAGGCTTCCTGGAACCCAGGAGGAGGAGGAGGAGGAGGAGGAGGAGGAGGAGGAGGAGGAGCAGGAGGAGGAGGAGGAGGAGGAGGAGGAGGAGCTGGAGGAGGAGGAGGAGAACGGCGGGAAGTTTTCAAAATTTTCGGCCACCCGGGGCCGTTCCCGGGCCTCGGGACTGTCAAAAAACGATACAGGATAAAAAAAACGCCTCCTCGCGCTGTGAACAAATCACGACGGCAATTTTTTCCCTACTTTCGGCCTCCAAGGGCCCTTGCCGGGCCCAGGGACTGTCACAAAAACGACTCGAGAGGAAAAATCTGTCCCAGGGAAAGGGCTTGTGAAACAAATCACGACGTCGGGGGCCTGGGGAAGGAGGCTGCTTCTTAGAAGGCGCCAGCCGAACATCTATGGGGCTACAGGTGTCAGGCCAGCGCCCTCCAAGAAGCAGCCTCCTTCTAAGAAGCCTTCCCCTCCCTCACACATAACCCCCCCACTGCGCGTGGCCGATTCTTGGGTGGCGATGAATGGGGGGTTGGGAAACGTACACCTTTCGTGTCCCTTTTGGGCCCCAGGGGTTTCTCTAGGGCCAAAAGGATGTGCTTCGTTCCCCCCCCATGGATCGCCCCACCCCCCATTGCGCAACGCCCGAGAGCCCTGGCTTCATCAACTCTCCGGTGGACTTCCCCAGCACCTTCTCGCCTGGCAGCCGGAGGAGCGAGAACGAGCGAGGACGCGCGACCACCGAGGCCTTCCAGAGGGGGTCCGAGCAGGTGGGGTTGGAGGATTGCACGGCATCGCCATCTATCGGCGATGCATCGGCAACGCATCGTCAACGTTGGTGATGCATCGGCGACGTCGGCGTGGAGAAAATCGGCCTCCACATCGAGCCTAGCGCCGGCGGAGTCCTCCGACCCCATCTGCTTCGACCCCCTTCTCGGAGGTCTAACAAAAACACCCATGCGGACAGGCGCCCGGGCAGAGCGAGGACCGCGGTTGGAGGAGGCCCTGGCCTCGGGAGCGTGCCGATTATGTGTACCGTGCCGCGCGAGGCACGAGGCCACAGAAAGGTGCACCCAAGTGGAGGGGGGAGGAGCGATGGGGTCCTGTCCGGGATGCTGGCTGGAGCCGACGTGGCCCCGAGCGGGGGCGAGGACGAGGCCGAGGCCTCTGGACGCCTCGGGTACCCTCTGGTGGCGCCTTCGGCGGCCTCTGCCCGAGGCTCTCGCCCGGAGCGCGAGGGCGAGGGCGCTGCCTCCGTGGACGCCTCTGCTGGAGGCCGACAGCCGAGGCTGAGGAGGGGCCGAGGTCTCTCTCGATCACCCTCTGTACACCCTGCGGAATGCTTAAGAAATCATGGGTTAAGAAATTCATAGTCTCAGAACTTGAATTCGCCGGCCCAACGGGCCAGGGCGTGCTAAGATCTCCGGTAACTGGTTAACAGTATTAAGAGTATTTCTAGTTCGCGCGCGCGGGGCGGCCCCTGGGGGTCACCCGGCGAAAAGTACCCCGACCAACGCCCGACCAAGTCTACTCAGAGATGGTTTTCCTTCTGGGTGCGGCCTCTCAGGCTCCCCAGAGCGTGCTCAGAGTGCCCCAAGAGGCCCCCAAGACTGCCCAAGAGGCCCCCGAGACGCCCAAAGAGCGCTCGAAGACGCCGAAGATGACCCCAAGACGGCCCAAAAGGCCCCCAAGACAGCCCAAGAGGCCTCCAAGACGCCCCAAGAGCCTTCCAAGAGGCCTCCGAAGAGAGCCCCAAGAGGCCAAAATCGTTGATTTTCATTGGTTTTTTCGATGTTTTTTGTGTTCTGGCTTTTTCGGCTTCCGGACGCTCCAAGACGGCCCAAGAGGCCCCCAAGACCGCTCCAAGACGGCCCACGAAGCTCCCAAGACGGCGCCGAAACGACCCAAGAGAGCCCTCAAGACGGCCCAAGTGCCGCCCAAGACGGACCAAGAGGCCCCAAGACGGGCCCAAGAGGGACTCAGGAGGGATACCGAGAACTCAAAAATGGAGCCCTCCGTCCCAGAAGGCGCCCAGGAGGTCCCAAAGAGGCCCCAAGAGGCCTCCAAGAGGCCCCAAGATGTCGCCAAGAGGCCCCAGGAGACTCCCAGGAGGCCCAAAAGAAGCCCCAGAAGGCTTCAAACATGTCTCCCAGGCGCCCCCGAACGGCCTCTCAACAGACCCCAAGAGGCCCCCCAAAGAAGCATCTTGACGACGACTCTATTTCGCCCCATCGAGAGACGACCCCCAGGGAACTGCTTCACCATCAAAACTCCCCACGCAACGCGTCCGAACGACACCCGCCCCCAAGAGCGCAACATGGGCAACGAACACACAGACAAAAACCAGCGATGCCATATCACGGGCCGGCGGAATGAGCGAAGCGATTCAATAAGAATAAAAACCCAAAATTTCCATTCAAATCTTAGGAGTTACATTGAAACATTAAGAATAATCGAGACTCTGGCAGAAAATTTGAGTTTTCTTAAGCATCGCTTGAGGTGTAGAGGCCTCCTAGATGGTGTCGGAGTAGATGTGGTCGGAGGATCGCGACGCATCGCCGATAGATCGGCGATGCATCTTCGACGTGGGCGATGCATGGGCGACGTCGACGTGAAGAAAATCGGGCTCCACATCGAGCCGCATCGCCGATGCACCGTCGATGCGGCGCGATCCTCAGGCCCCATCGACTCCGACCCCATCTCGGAGGCGTAGAAACCACCAGGACGGACGAGCGTCTGGGCCTAGCGAGAACCGGGTGGGGGAGACCATGTGTTCTGTGTACTATGCCGCGCGAAACGAAGTGGAGAGGGAAGGAGAGAGGGTTCGGTGGCAACTCATAGCTCTTGAGCATAGACGCTAATCGGCTGGGCCTCCGCGGAGGCTTCCGAGCTCCAGAGAGCTCTGGGAGGGGCGTCTGTAGGGGCCTGCAGGAGGCCGACGAGGGGGTGGCACATGCATCCGACGCCCTGGGATCCCAGCGGACGATGTGTGTGTGTGTGTGTGGATGCGTGAGGCGTCCCCATAAAAGGGGGGGCGAGGCGGGGGGCGAGGTCCGTGTCCATGGCTTGTGCATCCGACGCCCTGGGATCCCATCGGGAGATGCGTATAGATACGTGAGGCGTCCCAGCAAGGGCCTTGCCTGTGAGGATCGAAGAAGCTGTCATCTTTCCCTCGGCGGAAGGGCGGTGGAAGGTCGGCGGAGGAAAAACGAGGCCTCCGCAGATGGAAGCCGGCGGAAGGCAGCCGGGAGGAAGCGGAAGTAAAGCGTTGCCCGGCACTACTTGTGTTAGGCCGGGCGTGTCCCCCTACAGGCGGATGTTGGAGGAAAGATGTGACATACTCCACACATACTCAACAAATGCGTAACAATGGTAAAACAAATCGCCCCCATAATAATTATTTTGCAATTTTTGAATATCCCTCCTGTAGCGGGACAGGCCCGACTTAGTACTCGTGGGCGCAGGGCTTCCGGAAGCCGCCACGTGTTGACGTGCACGCCCGCCGGCCTGCCACGAGGCCCCCGAAGATCGCTGCCCCAGGCGGCGGGCCTGGAGAAGTCTTCGTCTCGGAGGGGGCGGGGGGCGGGCGCTGGCCTCGTCGGTTCCCTGGTGGACCCCTCCAAAGGCCTGTCGCTGGGTCAGTTTCGACGTCAGCCCACGCAAGCTCTCTTCTTCCTCCGCTGGCCAGAAGCCGTTCAGGACTGTGCCCCGAAACTCCTCCCGGCGTCCATCCGAGCCCGCTGCACACCCGCAGCCGACTTTCACCCCCCCGGCCCGAAGCGGGCCTCGAAGGGCTGGAACGCTGGAAGACAGGAAAGCAGGAACGCCGAAGGCTGGAGAGCTGGACGGGGGAAAGCTGGCAGGCTGAAGGCTGGATAGCGGCACCAGCTCGGACAACTTCGAACGGCCGCAGTACAACTTTTACCATCGCAACGGGGCCCAGCGGCGAGAGTGAGGAAAGAACGAGAAGACGACGACGGCGACAAAGCCGAGGGGGGGGAGGGAAAACGAGGGCGGGGGGGGCAGAAACCCACGCCCGCGCGGCCCCGTGCCAGCTCAATCCGGCGGGCCAAGGCGCGCTGCCAGCCGATCCCGGAGGACGACCCGCCACGCCGCCTCGCTGCCGCCAGCGCGCGCTGCCGGCATCAGCAGCAGCAGCATGCCCGTTCGCGGCGGCAGCGCGGGCACCCACCGGCCGCACAGGCGGCTGGCCAACTGCGGCCACGCCGGCGCCCAGCACCCGCAGCGCACGCAGGCGACCCGAGCCGGGCCCTGGGACGCCGCGTGCCGTGCGCCAGCCAGGCGCGGCCCGCGAAGAGTTCCCGCGCCGCCGCGGCTGCCCCCAGGCGTGGTGCCGCCGCGGGCGCTGGGGGGGGCGCTCAGCCCGCGCTGCGGCGGCGGCGCCGCGGCTGCGGCCGCCGCGGCCGCGCCCCCCTCGCGGGGCGCGCGCCTCCGGCAGTGCCCTGGCGTGGCCCAGCGGCGCCGCGCCCTGGGCCCGCCTGGGCCGCGGCCGTGGTTTGCTTTCAGAGCAGCCAGCTCCACTGCGGCCGCTGCGCGTTGGAGCGCCTCGAGCGCGTCCAGCTGCTTCGCCTGCTGCCACTGGCGCGAGTCGAGAGGCGGGAGTTGGGTTCTCGCGCCGGCGTCGGCGAGCCTGTCGGCGGCGGCGTCGCCAGTCCAGTCTGCTTGGGCGATGCCGCGGGCGGCGGCGCCAGCCTGGTCCAGGTGGCCCTTTACCCAGCGGGCCCGCAGCAGCCCGCTACGGCAATGCGGCGCGATTGCTTCCCAAAGGTCGGCGCGCGGCCGGTTCGTCTCGCTCGCGCCGCCTCGAAGCGCCGCCACCACGCGACTCGCGAATCGGGGGTCAGTAACGACGTCAACGGGTGCCCCCGCTAGGCTGCACGCCTGCGCCACAGCCCACAGCTCGGCACGCTGCGCGGTCTGCCGCCCGTCAACCTGGCCATGGCGGTCGATGCGCCCAGAGGGGGGCCCCTCCAACCTCGCGCCCCATCCCGCGCGGGCAGGCGCAGGCCCCCCTGGGTGCAGGCAAGAACCGTCCGTCAAGGCGCGGACATGCCCATGCGGCAGCTCCTCCGCGGCGGGGTCAGTGAGCGGCGGCAACCTGAGTGCCTGCTGGGCCACGGCGGCCAGCGCGGCCAAGCGGGCGTCCAGGGGGGGCACCGCTGTCCTTGCGGTCTCGGCTGGCAGGCAAGCGTGTGCCTCGGCCGCGGTGAAGCCGCTTGTGGCGAGAGCCGCGGGGCGCGTCGTCTGCCATCGCGGGCGCGCCCGCAGCTTGTGTTCGAGGTCCTCGACTGCGGCCCCGCAATGGGGGCGCGCCTGCGGTCGCCCCCATTTGGCGGCCACGGACTCCGAGATCACATGGCCAAAGATCACAACCCGCAGGGCGCCCGCGGCGTCAGGCGCCAGCTGGCCAGTCTCCAAGAGCCGGCGAGTCGCCCAGCGACCCACGCCCCCCGCGAAGTGCCGGTAGTTCGCGCGGCGCCTGGCCACTTCGCGGGCCCCCCGCCTCGCCCGAGCCTCCAGCAGCGCCTTGCGCGTGTCGGGGGGGCGCGGGCTGCTGGGCGCCGGCCGTCGGGGGCCTTTGGGATGCCACTCCAGGCCTCGATGTCGGCCCCCATCTGCAGCTCCGCCAAGCTGCGGAGGGCGGCTGCGATCGGGCCAAATGGCCGGCCGTGCCCTGC